CAGCGGTCCTGTTGCTCTATTTTCACCTGTAAAGCAGGAGTGGGTAGGCGGAGGTTTACCCTGGTGCAGGTGTGCCGCAGCGGTCAGTGGAAGAATCCGCGAGTTTCTCTGTGAGTTTCCCATTACGTCGTAGCGCACTCGGTGCTTGCTCGGAAGTTTAGGGGTTTTTTTCGCTGTAAAAAGAAGTTTTCTTCCCACGCACAGCGGACACTAATGTTTTTGTCACTTTTTATGGAATCAAACTCAAAGTAAGGTCAGTACTTCCACGCTTTAAACGCTGCACGCTCATACTCTCTCCTCGACATGATCCATTGTTGATCTGCACACAGCTGTTGTCACGAACGTCGCACTCGCTTACGTCACTGTCATGAGACATTCTCGCAAAAAATCACGGTTTTAGTAACGCAGTAACGCAGCGTTCCTACGGGAAAGTAACGGTAATCTAATTACCGTTTTTGCAATAGTAATCCCTTACTTTACTCGTTACTTGAAAAAAGTAATCGGATTACAGTAACGCTTTACAAGTAACGCGTTACTTCCCATCTCTGTTTATTAGCATACCGTCTTAAACAGAAAGACAGTATGAACCATATCCCAGGCATACGACAATTAGATGGGGTTATTTTAACTTCTTTTAGACATATAAATGATGGATTCAGGGCCTTTTACAATAATCTTTATTCTACACAAGGGAGTTTAGATGAACAGAAATTCGAAGCATTCTTTACTGATTTAAACCTGCCACAGCTTTCTACTACTGACCAGCAGATTATAGATGCTCCAATTACAGTGGAGGAGATTACCCGTGCAATTAACAGTATGCCACTTAATAAAGCTCCAGGATTAGATGGGTTACCATTGGATTTCTATAGAGCATTTGAGGATATGTTAAGTCCCCTGTTGCTCGATGTTTATAATGAGGCGTTCAAAGTAGGCTCATTACCTCAGTCAATGCACTCTGGACTTATAACATTTATTCTTAAAACTGGGAAAGACCCTTTAGACCCAAGTGGTTACCGCCCCATATCTTTGCTGAATTCTGACCAAAAAATCTTGGCAAAGGTCTTAGCGGGTCGATTAAAAGTAGTAATGGCGAAAATAATTCATGCAGACCAATCTGGTTTTGTTCCAAACCGCTATGGTTCAGATAATATTAGGCGGTTGGTTAATTTGCAAAATTATGTATATGATTCAGTATATCCAACAGTGGCCCTATCGCTGGATGCTGCAAAAGCTTTTGATTGTGTTGAGTGGGATTATCTGTTTAAGACATTAGAAAAGTTTGGTTTTGGTGACAATTTTATTAGGTGGATAAAGATATTATATGATTCGCCTTCAGCGCGAGTATTGACGAATGGGCTCATATCAGACCTATTCCTTTTACAGAGATCCACAAGACAGGGTTGTCCCCTTAGCCCCGGTCTTTTTGTAATTGCTATAGAGCCTCTGGCACAAAAACTGAGAAATAATGTAAATATATTTGGAATTTCGATGGGTAATAGTCAACATAAGCTTCTATTATATGCAGATGATATGTTGTTACTTATGACCCAGCCTGGGAAGTCAATTCCAGCCCTATTAGAATGTATAGAAAGCTTTACGCTGCTTTCAGGGTATCGTGTCAACTGGGATAAATCAGAGGCAATGCCTATGTCAGGACACTGCCCCCATACTTTATTTAAACAGTGGGAGTTTCGGTGGTCCGTGAATGGTTTGAGGTATTTGGGGATACAAATTACCTCGGATTACACTAAGATGGTTCGAGCAAATATGGAGCCAATGTTTGAAAGAATAAAAATGGAATTTGGTAGATGGTCCAGAGTACGTCTCACAATATGGGGTAAAATTAGTTGTATTAAGATGATGACTGCACCCATGATCTTTTATATTTTATCTAATATTCCATTACACATTCCAGATAAGTATTTCAAAGATCTAGACTTTTTGATCCGGCAGTTTCTTTGGGGTAGCTCACCACATCGTTTAAGTATTAGGAAACTTCAAGCGAGTGCAAAACAAGGAGGTTTTTCATTGCCTAATTTCCAATGGTATTATTGGGTGATGAACGTGAAACAACTTAGAGCTTGGTTACCTACTGCACCAGTTAAACCCATCTGGTCCCATATAGAGACGGAAGTTAATGGCGGTATTTCTCCTTGGAGGGAGCTGTTTGATACCAGTCATAAAACTACCCATCCTATAATTGCAAACGCGAAGACATTGTGGTGTAAATTACATAGGGCAGGTCGCTGGGACTTTATTAAATCACCTTCGGCAACCTTATGGGGGAATAAAAGAATTTTAATTGGAGGGACATCGGTTGACTGGTTACAGTGGCGTAAAGCAGGCATCCTTAATGTATCAGATTTATTTGACTGTGGGACTAAATGTTTTTTAAGCTTTGATAAAATTGTGGAGTTATATAAGTTGAGCGTAATCAATTCTGGAGATATGTCCAAATACATAGTTCATTATCGAAGTGGCTGGGAACCCCCTTGAGTTGTCCTGTGGGCAGCCCTGTGGAAGTCCTGCTCTCAAGATCACCCTTGGGTAAAGGCATTACCTCTAAGATTTATCACTTATTGCAAGAACGGTCAGCTGACCCTCTCCTTAAAGTTAAGGGCTACTGGGCCCAGGACATGGCATTGGACATATCTTCAGTTGAATGGGATTCATGTTTTCAAAGTGTTAATACTATGTATAAAGAAACAGGCAGTAGATTTATTCAACTTAAGATAATCCATAGGTGGCATCGAACACCGCAACAATTGTATAAATGGAACCTGGCCTCTACGGACGAATGTTGGAGATGTGATGGTCAAAATGCTTTGATTTTACATATCTTATGGAGCTGTTCGGCACTTCGGGATTGGTGGGAAAATATAATGGAGGTAATTTTCAGTGTTTTAAAAAGGAGATTTGGTATCTCACCAAAACTGTCCATACTTGGTATAACCACAGAACTTTCTGATGGAGATTTTTCCAGTTATACAAAAAGATGGATTATTTTGGCTCTTACTACGGCCAAACGGGTCCTGCTAAGACATTGGCGGAAAAAGAACCCCCCTCCCTATGAAGAGTGGCTAAAGACAATGGCTAAGTTGGCGTCTTACGAAAAAGTGACTTATGGTTTATTAGACAAATTGCATCAATATGATTGTATTTGGTCCCCCTTTACAAGCTGGCTTTCTGTAACTTGAAGAACAGAGGAGTAATGACAGAGTGGTGGTGTGGGGATTGGTGTGCGAAGAAAGAATAGGATAACTTCCCTTTTTTGTTTTGTTTTTTTGTTGTTTTTTTGTTTTTGTTTGTTTGTTTTTTAAACTATTTATTTATGTAGTTATCCTTAAGCTCTGTTATTGAAGTTTAAAATGAAATAAATAAAAATTGTTGATGATAAAAAAAAGTTTAAACTTCAAAGCTCATGCATGCATGCACATCCAGTGCTCAGTGTCTAATTGTGTGTTTGTGTTTTTACCTTTTTGCAGTAGCGTAGTGAAACATTTGGGCGGTGGATAAATAATGGAAAATAAAATTCAGACTACAGACGGCTTCAGGTGAGTACACGTGGTGCACAAGGACCAAAGCTCACCTTCTCAACCTGGACAAAATGAATTATTTTACACTGATACTGTAAACTTTTGTTTGTGTGTCAGGTTTCCATACATCGGAAACAGCTGCTGCATCTGTAATTCTGTCCATCCTGAGGAGAGTCCACACTCTACATCAGATCCTTGGCTCACCTATAATGACGCACAGGTGCTGCACACAACTGGATCTGCAGCTTGTGAGGAACAGCAGCACTCAGCCTACATCCTGTTTTACCTGAAGTGAGAGAATGGCACGCCAGCTGCAGCCTAATCCAATCTCTCTTCTTTTCTTTTTTCGGTGCCCAGACACCCTTCAGTTTCATCATGTCATCCCTAACAATAGCTGTAGAGTTGGATGGAGGATGAAGACAGCAGAGAGCAAAAGAAACAGGTAAGAGCAGACAGGTAGTCAGAGTTAACAAAAACTTTTAAAGCCAGTGTAGCTTCTGTTTTGAACACATTTATTGATGACAATTTTACATAAATAAGCAGTGTGTTATACTGTTATCAGATGTGGAGTCTCACTAACCACTTTAATAGTGACTTGTGTCCCAAATACTGTTTATTTGTCTTAGTTACAGATAGTGAAATAAAAATGGAAAATGATTGTTTCATAATTGTATACTCAGCTTGGTCAAGACATAATTCGAGAACGAGAAGCGTAGGATTTTGAATTGATACCATTGGTGCATCTACTAAAGTTCTGGGGTCAGTTTGAATATCAGTGACCTTGACCTTGAGTTCAAGTTTTCTGAAAATCTTGTGAATGCTACAACTCTGTGACGAGAAGTAAGTCTCCTAGGTCTTTAAATTTGTATATAGGTGAATCTACTAGGAAGCTGAAGGGTTGCACTGCGGGCCATCTGTAGAGGTGTAGAGTCAACAACCTGTCTCTGAACGTGGACAAAACAAAAGAGATTGTTGACTTCAGGAGAGCACAGTGGGATCACTGCCCACTTAACATGAATGGATCCTCTGTGGAGGTCGTCAAGAGCACCAGATTTCTTGGTGTCCACCTGGCGGAGAACCTCTCCTGCTCCCTCAACACCAGCTCCATAACCAAGAAGGCCCAGCAGCGTCTCTACTTCAAGCAGAAGCTGAGGAAAGCCCATCTCCCACCATCCATTCTCACCACCTTTTACAGTGGGACTAACAAGAGCATCCTAAGTAGCTGCATCACTGTCTGGTATGGTAACTGCAGCGTATTAGATCGCAGTACCCTACAACGGATTGTGAGAGCAGCTGAGAAGATCATTGGAGTCCCTCTCCCCTCCTTATAACACCCGCTTGCTGGAGGACCCCACACAGCCTTCAAACACACTCTTCACCCTGCTGCCTTCTGGAAAGAGGTCCCAGAACATCCGGGCCCTCACTACCAAACTACGGAAAAGTTTCTTCCCACAAGCCGTCAGACCCCTGAACACTCAGTGACTGCACTGGCACACGCACACCTTCACACATGTCACTACCAAGCACTTATCTGCAGTATCTCACACTCATACACATACATACAGACACCAAGTTACTTTTGCACAATACTCAGCATTTTGCACATTTCCATTGTCTTGTGTCTGTATCGTCCTGTTCTGTCTAGTTTTGCACTGTTTTGTCTTGTTTATTTTTGCAATTTATGCACACTGCACTTTATGTAGTCCTGGGTTTGTCCGTATATGTCATATATAGCACCAGGGTCTCGGAGGAACGCGTCTCATTTCACTCTGTACAGTACCTCTGCACGTGGTTAAAATGACAATAAAAGCCACTTGACTTGACCTGTTTTTGTAGCAGTTGCTTGGAGACGAGTGCCATACAGTTCAAATGAGCATACATTCCAAAATATGCAAATGAGCCCCATACATCATAATGCTGATGTTTGCTGTTCAGGGTATGAACGTTCTATGCTGAAAGTTTATAAATATACAACCTTTGACTGCTTGTTTTCAGTTGAACTTTTGCAAAGCTGAGGAGATTTTGGCTGCGATCACATCAAGTCCAAAGATGTTTAAACTTCTTTTTCACAGAAAGGTAAGTTTGAAGAGACTCGCAGCACATTTCTCTGAATATTTTCTTATGGTAAACAAGCATTTTTGAAACTTTTAAGGAAGCTTCTTGGATGATTTCTGTAAAAACTGAATTTTGAATCCAAATGAAGGATATTGTATTTTCTTACCATATACTTTGTTTTATGCCATTACTGATGTTGGTTTTCTTGTTTCTAAACAGAAATCACACAAACAAAACGTGGCAGAGAAGGAAATTCCTTCTACGTCTCATCAGAGGTAAAGAAATGCGCCCTCTTTAATGCTGCTGGAGATATTTTAGTCTTTGACTTTATTTATTTTCTGCTGTGTTTTACTTGCATCTATTTGAAAGACTGAGTGTAAACACACAAAAAATATATATTTTATGTGCTGGAATGTGCAGAAAATAGGTTTAAATAGGTTTAAAACAAATTTCTTCCAGTCAGAGAATGTTGCATATAATTACATTTTTGCTTGATGCATAAAGTTAAAAGATTAAAACTAATAAAACAAGTTTTAAAAAGAGACTTTTCCATTTGATTACATTTTGTATGATGGATTGTAGAAAAAGTAGAATTGGGCTGAAAGATCTATCACTTTATCACCTATTCAGGTTGTAAATCGTGTTTTTAAAAAGTAACTAAGTAATTATAAGTAATCAGCAAAGTAACGGGATTACTTTTTGGGGGAAGTAATCAGTAATTAGTTACTGATTACTTTTTTCAAGTAACTTGACCAACACTGTCAGTTACACAGCTCCATTGAAGCCATTCACTGGTTAAATACAAATAACTGTGTGATTAACTGAAAAAAGCCACTTACGGGGCTGAGTGCTCAGAGAAGCCTGTGGGATAAGCTGCTCAGCCAGAGCACCAGTGAGCTTCAGTCTAGAGAGTGGTGACAGGAGAGATGGAGGTGGGAGTGAGGCATTTAATCCTGTCTGTAAAATAAATATAACAACACTTAAATAACTTGCATAATAATTCAAAATGGCAATAATTTAATAGATTATTGAATTATTTGCTCATGCTAAAGTCAACATAGAAAGACTACATATTTCTACATATATCTGGTTTACTTTAATCTGCCAGACTGCGGAGGGCAGTAATGGGATGGGACTAACTTAGTTATTACTTAGAAGAAGAAGAGGGTTAGTCTGGAAGTGTTGCCGGTAGTCCATGCTCATGATTGTTTTCACCTAGCGGAGGAGGCTGTCAGAAATATTTACTTGTCAGGATTTATCCTCTGCTCTTTCAGTTGTTCTGTCACCGTCTGTATTTCTCAGCCACTGGATACAGACCCCTGAATATTGAAAATGGATCAACATGCCGATCCTCCGACGAGAGGTTTGTGACCTTTGTACCCTGTGGAAATTAAATTACTGTGTAAAATAAACTGAGAAGTGTTGGCAGATACTCAGCTCAACATAGCTGACCTTTTGACTTTTTTCCTTATCTCTGTCAAAAGTTTAACCGCAAACTTTATATTCTTTCAACTCAGCGTGGCCTAATCTCATTATTCATGTTTCTCTTCCCGTTTTCTCTTCAGATAATAACACAGATAACAACACCACAGCTGAATCAACAGATCCTCCTCACAGGTTCACAAGAAAAGAGATTCTCACCTTAATATCAGTGGCATCTGTCAACTTTGGCTCTATGATTTGCTACTCAATATTGGGCCCATTTTTTCCCACCGAGGTAAGCTCAAGGAAGCCAGCATCATAGGGTACAAATCACATGTTACAGCACAAGAGGTTAAAGGTTCAAGATAATGAATGCAGCTTTTGACTGAAGAAATGCAAGTCATATATCTGCAAACAAATCTTTTCTAGCCAGAGGAAACTGGGAACAAGCATCTCCTTCTACTAAAATGTATTTGTGCTCCCATGTAGTTGTACAGTTCACAGGTTAGACTATTGTTCACCTTAAGAACTCAGTAATGTCTTCTGAAGGGAATGAATGAGTAGTCATGCGCTACCAACAGACATCCTCCCTGAAGGCCAGTGAAGACTGGCTCTTTTGTAATCAGCCGTTCAACTTAAGGTCTGTCATGAGCTAGAAATGCAAATGTCTGAAAAGAGTGGCACAACAAGCTGGCTAGTTAAAAAGACATTATATTATCCTTGCTGTTTTTGTTGTTGTTATATAGATCCCCTAACTTTATCTGTTGTCCTGTTTTAATATTTAGGCAGTGAAGAAAGGAGCCAGTCAGACTGTAGTTGGTCTCATATTTGGGTGTTATGCTGTCTCCAATTTAATTAGTTCATTGATATTGGGAAAATATGTAAGTATACACTTTAACTTCATGCCATGTGCATGGCAATTTGGAGCACAGGTGTAACCAAAGAGTCTGTAACAGTGCAACTGACCCATTCTTTGTGTATCAGATTGTCCAGATTGGTGCAAAGTTCATGCTTATTGCAGGACTTTTTGTATCATCGTGCTGCACTATTATATTTGGGTAAGTGATCTGTGTTTCGTGTTAACTATGATAATGATAAAATTGGGAAAAATCCAGAATCTCATTGTGACAAAAGGACCCAACAACTCCAAGGATCATGCTGATGTTCTGTCACTTTATTTGTTTTACACACACCGTTTCAGTGTGCTTTTGGAGTTCGCTTTTCAGCATGACTCAGCGAGTTGCTGCTGCTGCTTCTGCTCTCCGACTCTCCACACAGCGTGCTGCTTAAATAGGGGAGGCATGATTAAACAGTGGTTACCAGCTGTCAGCCATCCTCCCCTGGCACTGCCTCCTGAACCTGCTGCTCCATCCCTCTTCAGTAGCCGAAAAACAAACAACACCCCCGCCACACTCCCACAAATTTCCTGAAAATACCAAACTAACAATGAATTTATTCATGTAAAAAATAATGTTTTGTGCTAAATAAACAAAATTAAAACAGCTGTGTAGCAGGCAGATTGTGGAAACAAATACAAAACTTGGGAAGTAAGGCATAAACTCAAAATATAGCTTTAATGTTGCCCACTCATAAGGACACAAAAGGTTCAAGATAAACCATGACAGAAAATATAACAAAGTTCATGGGGAAAGATGATACAACAACACAGAAAGAATAAGACAAGAAAGACAAGACTGGAGGAACAGAATCAAAAGGAGATGAATGAACTTGGAGAACTGAAGGTATATAAAAAAGGAACTTATATGAAGCGTCAGGACATAAACAGGACACATAAAAACAAAGAAATCACAATGTGAATAGAAAGCTAGATTCCATGAATACAGAACCCTAATCCAAACATAACCCATAATACAAAACGAGAAAGAACCCCTCTGGGGCCAAGGCCCAGAGACCATGGCACAATCACCTTTGTTTCAGCTCACACGCAGTTCCTCTGAGCTTCTTTATTTCATCTGCATTTCCTTTAATCTTGGCTGGCTCTTGTCTTCTTTGCAGATTTCTTGATCGGGCTCCTGCAGGACCTATATTCATCAGTCTGTGCTTTGTTGTGAGGTCGCTTGATGCTGTCGGCTTTGGCGCTGCTACAATGTCTGCTTTTGCCATCACAGCACAAATATTCCCAAACAATGTGGCAACTGTTCTGGTGAGGGTGGACAAACTTGTCAGACTGGCATGCTGTTTAGACATTAGAATCACGAGAAAACAGAAACTATAGGTTTAAGTTGTTATGTATCTCCAGAAAACAACTGGCTCTTGGCTATGATGTAAGAAATTCCCACAGTAATCTGGGTCACTACTGTTTTAGGGTATTTTGGAGATTTTTGCAGGACTCGGCCTTATCCTGGGACCACCACTGGGAGGGTGGCTCTACCAGACTTTTGGATACAATGTCCCTTTTTTAAGTCTTGGATGCTTGCTGTTGATTATGGTTCCTTTCAACATTTACGTCCTGCCGTCCATTGGTATGTAACACTTGAGATTTAGGTGTATTGTTTGGGTTTATTATTGAAAAATTGCCATTTTGTGTTTTTTCATTTTTCTCACATTATAACTGAGCTGTAATTTTGTGCTTCCCTCGTCTCAGAGGCAGTCCCATCGAAGGATTCATTCTTTCGACTACTCACCCACGTGAAAACAATCCTGGTTTGCTACGTGGTATTCACTCTGAGTGCAGGTGTGGGCTTTTTGGATGCCACTTTGTCACTGTTTGCTATTAACAGGGTAATGATATCCTTTATGATAAAGTCAGCTTACGTTTCCTAGAGTTTTTGTGCATTCCTTGAACAACTTTTTTCCCCTATCCATCATCCTTAGTTTGGTCTCTCAAATGGCTACGTGGGACTAATAATGCTTGGTTTGCCTTTAGTGTATATTCTGGCATCACCGCTGATTGGGTATTTCACAGATAAATATCCTGTATGTATCCAAGAAATCAAAATCATTAAATGTGTATAATTATCTTTTTTCTTTTCTTTTTAAATAAAATTTGATCTTGTGCACCAGGCCACTAGGATCGCTCTCTTGGTGACAGGTGGAATCGCTGCTACAATTGGCTTCTGTCTTCTTGGTCCCGCCCCTTTTCTTCACATCCAGAGGTTAGTGTGGGATTCAGGTAAAACTAACACTTCTATATTTAAAAATGATGGACATTTTAAGAAAGATGTGTATCCCATTCTGAGCCAGGAGTCATATCTAACGTCATTTTTACAATGTCTAATTCCAGGAAATAATTGCACCTGCCAGGTAACAGTCACACTGTGAATAAGTGTCTTAAACCCTTAATATTTTTCACGGCTAGCAGGGAGCGACTCCTGTGGTAGCAAAAAAGAAAGCCCATTGTGAGGAATAAACTCTACTTTAAATGTTATTATATAACACTAAATATTGTGCTAATTACTTTAGGGTCTCAATTTCCAGGTTTAAGTTTAATATTGGTTACATGTCCCAGAGTAACTGGCACCTCGACCAGACACTTTTGGCAGCCATCAACAAGCTTTAGGCATATTTCAAGTTGCATATTTGACCAATATTTTGAAGGCGTTGATTTTGGAGCACGAGCTTCTTTCTAGGTGATTTAAAACTTGTTTCACCGCAGATGCTGGTGTTTCAGGAGTTTCTAGTTAATGGCATGTTTGAGCCTTGGTTCCTGGGCTGTTCATGAACATCCTAACCAATTTCCTCTCAACTAAAGGTGACAGTTTGGGTCTTCTTCCAGACCTTGGCAAAGTGGTGACATATTTTGATAAGAGACCTTTCCACCTTGTGTAAATCTTCAACTCTCCTTGTTAGATTGTCACTGAGTTCCTTGGGCTTGCCATTGTTCTGAGTATTGGTCAGTGCTTCTCACCGCTCTC